CATGAGGGAGAGAATAAGCGGCCATGAACACTTGAGCAAGCTGCTTCCACCAGCCAACTTCCACAGCCCGATCAACCCGAATCCTCAACTAACCAACAGCCACCTGGCTCCAGCCAAAACCAAAACCAAGCTAATCTATCTAGCCTGGTCGAGTTAGACGAAACATCCTGAGGCGTATCTCCGAGAGATATTGTTCGAGGAGGGGATGGAAGTCCTATTGATGTTACCTCAGGTACATCCTCACAATCAGGCCATCAGTCAGAACATAGTTCAGAACTGATGGCAATGGGAAATCCTTGTGATCCCGGTGTTCCAGATTACATGTCCCTGACACCACCAAGTCAACCTGCTCCTACCACTCCTTCATCAGAGGCAATGCACGATGAACTTGAAAATATTGTTATACATGACAAGTGGCCTAGGAAATAGACGGAGTGGGATCAAATTCGTAGTCACAAAGAAACTGAGGACATGCAGAGGAGCTGGTACTTGCGAGAATTGATCGCCAAATGTGCAGCATGCATCATCAGGCTTGATGAAGAGGAACTCAAGGAAGGGGAAAATTATAAAGAAACTCCCAAGGAATTGGAATCAATAATAAGACAAACAGCGGGACGACTTCCCAAGAATGAGAAACCCTGGGAGAATGTTTGAATCAAAGCCCCCTTCCAAGAGGAATTCAGAAAGCGTGTCTAGCGTAAACCGGAGAAGGTCAAACCTATAAGGGAACTAAGGATGCGCGGACTTACACACTTGAAAGGAAAAGAAGCAGGAGGTCACCTACATGTGCTATTTCATAGATCTTCAGGGCCTCAATGACCACTATTGGAAAGAGATCTAAAGTCTAGTACACATCCTGTTCATGCAATACTACAAGTCAAGGCCGAAGATCATCATACAATCAGATTCTACTCCTACAAGGTCCAGCGCACTGATGGTAGTGAATTTGTATGCCAAGAAAATGACTTCTTCATGCTCAAAATGGATGACATCTATGGGATGTTTATGGCATACAGATTCCTACCAGTCAGAAACAATCGAACATACAGAGAAGGCTTCAAAGCAATCAAGCGTTTCATGCTGAGACAAGTCCGAGTCAATGCTTCCCACGACTTCCAAATGGCTCTCGAGAATAATATTCCAAAAGCAAATCTATCTTAGCCACAACTGCATGGTCCGGAGCTTGATGACTTTCCTGCCTATCACATCTTTTTCACTCCACCTGCAGTCGTCTATCTGAACCACAAGGACGAAAAGCGCCTGATGGTGGTTGATGAGATCCACAAATACTGTGATGGAACTTTGAAAATCATTCAAGAACAGCTGAGCAAAACAAAGGAAGAGCTTGACAAAAGACTTGTGGATGCATCTACATATACTCTAAAGGAGCATGAAGTGCTGACATTAATTCTGAAAGCTATTGATGAACGCCTAGAAAAGAGAAATATCCTCAGGCAATATGAGCATGCACTAAACTTAAGGAAAAACTATTTTAGAGCTCAGAAAGAAATCAAGACGGCACTTGATCACAAAGGAGGAGATTGTTGAAGAATATTTATTGTGTATCAAGTTTGTCAGATGTCTTGTAATAGTCTAGTTTTACTATGCCTGTTATGTATTTATAATCTGTATTCATTAGCATAGTAAATTATATAGGGCCAAAGTGTCAGGCCCATATCTGGCGTAAAGCCTTCACGCAAACCTTGCCTGCGCATATATAAAGGTGCATAAGGCTTAGGTTTGCGTTAACTTTTGCATTCGATCCTTTAGCCTTAGCGCTCATCATTCTTCTGCTATAATCGTTCACGGTATATCGAAGAAGGGTTTAAACGATCTTTATCTTGTTTATCATTCTGTTAAACTATCTTTGATATATCTGTTACATTAGTATAAAGCTTAGGTTTGCGTTAACTTTTACGTTTTTTATTTTTTGAATTTTTATTTTTTATATTTTACTAAATATTTATTTTAGTCCAAAAAACTACATGAATTTATTTTTCCAAACACACTTAATAAGTCCTCTATGGAATTGAAAATAATGTAGTCCCATTTGTGATTTTCTGCTACCTCTTACTCCTAGTTAGATGATCATGATTTTATTACTATTGTATTGAAAAGAATAATAATATGGAGGAGCATTTAGTTATAATTATACATGCCTGGCAGAATATGAATACACAGTCTTAAATATAAGAGTGTAACAATCAAGGGAGTTGGTGCAGTGGTTTAGTGCCCGTTTGGTAACCATGATTTTTGCCTTTTTGGACTTATAAACCAACTTTTTCATCAAACACACCTAACTTTTAGTTTCACGCGCTGAAGTGTGTAATAATAAGAAAAAGTAAAGTTGAAGTTACTTTTTACGACTCTATTGGCTGAAGTTACCCTAGAGGGCAATTGTAGCTATTTTTTTAAATCTTTATTTTATTAATAAAATATTTTTTAAATTATTAGTTTTCACAAATTAGCATAATCAGCCAATACAACCACATCAGTAAGAACTTCATAAATTTCAACAGAATCAACCAATACAACTGATTTGACTGTTACCAAACAGACTCTTAAGCATGCGGAATCTATATGCATGGGCCTGGTTCAATTCTCATACACCTTAAGTTGTTATACAGAGTAATTTTTGTATTATACATGTACTACCTCTGTCCTAGAATTATATCCTTATTGACTGGGCACGGGTTTTAAAATGGTGAGAAATGTGTGGTGGATAGTTGTGCAGAGGAAAGAGAAATGTGTAAGAATGATTGTGAACCACAAATTCTTTGCCAAAAAAAGGAAAAAAGAGATAAATTTGGGACGGATCGAAAAGGAAAGAATGAAGATAATTCCGGGACGGATGGAGTATATATATTATGGCATGGATATGTGACGGGGTAGGGAAATGACTTGGAAATGGAATTTTAATTGAAATGCTGACATGGCACGATGATAGTGGAAAAGTGCCCCAATTTGAAAAATAAGTTTGAAAGCGTCCTACTTTGGAAAATAAGATTGGAACAACCCCTCCTCAGAAAAAACTCCTTTAATATTTCATATGTATTTTTAAGACAAATTAAACATGTTATAAGCTACTCCCTCTGTCCCGAAATAATTGTCCTGCTTTCCTTTTCGATTCGTCCTGAAATAATTGTCTCCTTTCCTTATTTGGTAAACAAATCTATACAAAACAGTGTCAAACAATGCAAAACAGTGTCAAAACAGTGTCAAATAATGCCAAACAGTGTCACTACAGTGGGACGTCAATTTCACTTTCTTAATTTGTGTGAAGGTCAAACCAGGACGATTATTTCGGGAGGGAGGTAGTATTTAAATCATTAAAAGATACTTCGTACTTCTGAATTACGAATAGGCACAACCGCACAACCCTGTCGAATCAAGGCATAATTGTGAATTTGTGGGTATTTGATTTTCTTTTTAATTTCATTCACAATTTTAGATATTCATTGTTGTTACTACTCTATGTTTTTTTGTGTTAGTGAGTGTGATTTATCTATTTTTGTATGTGTGCAAATATGTGCATTTTTATTGATTTGTTAATTGTTGTTCTTATATACTCCCTTCGTCCCATAATGAACTTCACAGTTTGACTTACACACATATTAAGGAAATAAACCTACCATGGGGTAAATTTTACTGATTTGACACTGTTTCAACACTGTTTGGCACTGTTTTGCATTGTTTCGACACTGTTTAGCATTGTTTTACACTGTTTGACACTGTTTTGATGTATATTAACTTGCCATTTAAGGAAATGAGAACTTGTTTTTGGGACATCCAAAAAAGAAAAATGGGATGTTCATTGCTTCATTTTTTACATCCTTCTAGACCTATTATAATATATACTTAAGATAATGTCAACCTCTTTTATTGAGATATGACTCAAACAAGTGACATCCTCTTCGCGAGATGTTATCATAGCACAATGCACTTGACAATTCTATATTGATTTTAATATTTTTGAATGTTAATTATTTTTAAGGTACTTGATTTAATGTGAATTGTTCCCGCAATGTTCTACAAGAATTGTTTTCAATTTTTTTTATTACATAATTAAATTTTTGTTTCTGTTAAAATATACTATTGATATACTATGAAGTATATCAGCATGCTCACCACATAGCACGTTGACATGATGAATGACAAAAATTTTCTATATTTAGATGAATGAGTCCTAACATTCAGAGCCCGTTTGGTAGCACGAAAATCGGTTGTTTTGGTTGATTCTGCTGAAATTTATGAAGTTTTGGCTGAAGTGGCTGTTTTGGCTGATTCTGCTGATTCAAAGAAAAAAAAATTAAAAAAATATTTTATTAATAAATTAAAGAAAAAATTACATGTAAAAATAGCTAAAATGGTCCTCTGCAGTAACTTCAGCCAATACAGCCAGAAAAGTAACTTCAACCTTACTTTTTCTGCTTATTACACAATTCAACACACGAAAGTAAAAGTTACGTGTTTGGTGAAAAAGCTGGCTGATAAGCCTGATAAGCCGAAAAAAGAGGTCTCCAAACGGGCTCTCATTATGGCAACTTGTTCCATAGATCATGTCAGCGTGCTCAATCTTTTTTTGAGAAAGTAAATCCTTCCTATGACTTCATATTTAATTTTATTCTACTAAATTCTTAAAAAACCTATAACTATTAGAATTAGAATAAGCATGTGAAAAAAGTTTGCCCCCACGTTTAAAAAAATTGCTTTTTCTATAAACTTAGAAAAATAAGAAATAACATAAATTTTAAATTCCTTTTTACCAAAAAAAAGGAAAACATTTATATTGAAAAAGTTGAAAAAAGAGGGAAGAACGTTTTACTTTGGAAGCAGTATCAATTTAGCTTATTTTCTATAATTAGTACGGAGTAGGGTCACCATGAAGAGCACGCTAATGAATGATGACACCCTCAGATGGGCTGTTTGGCTGCGTGCACTACCAGTAAAGTGCGCATTTTGCTTTTTCACAGAGCAAATTATTTATAACTTCGTAAATACACTTCCTTTCCCAAAACACCCCCACTCTTTCTGGAGGGAAATAAACAATGAATAAATGTACACTCATTCCACAGCTCACTAGAAGCATGCAACACAAGTTATACTGGTAGACCCATAAATTTTTCACCGCTGTTTCTCTCTTTAATCCTCATCCTTCCTCCCTCCCAGATAAATTCTCTGTAATATATATAAGGAGGCTGCTATGTATATAATGGTTAAATTTCTCTTTTCTTGAGAAAAGACCGGATGTACTATTTCTAGTTATGATGATAACATAGCTGCAGAGCAGAAGGGGAGCAGAGAAGGTCGTGCAGGTTTTGTCTTTTTGATTCAGCTCCAATTTTCCAGCTTTCGTGACTTAAGCTTATATTCAAATCCAAACATTTGTGTCTGTTCTTGATTTTCTGTTAATTGGATTCAATTTGGGGTTTCTGTTTGAGGAAAGATGAATACTAGAAGCAGGACCAACCTGCAACCTATGAAGGCCTCTATGAAGCTTGAAAAAGTAAGTGGTTGTGGAATATAATTTTATCTGATAGCAACTAGACATTTGAGTTAAATTGCTGGACCCAAAGATTGATTCTTTTCTTGTAAATTGGATAAAGTTGGAGTCTTTACCATATGGTATGTCGACTTCAATTGTTAAACGAACAAGAAACCATAGATTCTCATTTTCCCTTTTTAGAATAAAGGTTGAAGTTTTTTTTCAAGTGGAATTAGTTTTGTCAATTTTGTTATGAATTCTTTGTATTTCACGCCTCTCTTTAGGTATTATACCTGTTAAGTCATCCCACACGCACCTGTCCAATACAAAGATAGAAACTCAAATATGACTTTTACAGTGGAACTGAAATTGTAATCCAGTTCTATTAACCTAATTTCTTGGAAGCTGATTCTCTCTTGTGTTATTCTTGCTTGAAGGAAAAAATGGAACAACAAAGTAATACGAGAATAATGCACTCGGAGAAAACGCCTATCAATCGGAGAAAAGCGATCAGAGAGCGAAAGATAGAATTGTTACAAGATGTGTGTGATACTTTCTTTTATAACCCCTTTTTGCATATGTTTCTCTTATTCACATTTTAGTATTTATCTAATATTATGATCTGTATATTCGGACAAAACAAGTGTAGGTAGATAAGCTGAAAAAGAAACTGAGGCATGAAGAAAATGTTCACAGAGCTCTTGAGAGAGCGTTTACGAGACCTCTGGGAGCTCTCCCTCGTCTACCTTCTTATCTTCCATCCTCTGTTAGTATTTACCCTTCTTTCTGCTGTGATCATATACCTAACTTTGTGAATAAGAGAACTTCGATTATGTTGAAGATATTCTCATATGCTTTATTAATATAAATAATAATAAACATATAAATGAATGAGCAAGGGTCTTGGCCCTTGGGGTTGAGTTATGCCTAATTTTATTCCTTAGAACTGTGGATCGTCACTTACGTTGATTTTGAATAAAAAATGCATTAGACACTCGAGCTATTAGCCGAAGTAGCTGTTTTGGAAGAAGAAGTTGTGCGGCTTGAAGAACAAGTTGTACATTTCAGGAAGGGACTGTACAATGAAGCAGTTTATATTTCATCATCTATGAGGAATGTGGAGAATCCAGCTGAGCAATGTGACTCATACATAACTCCCAAACCCAAGCAAACCAAGATCTCACCACTAACTGGTAAATATGATGGTACAGCTTAACCATATTTTCCAATTCAACTCTTTGTATAGTTATCAAACTTTATTCTTAAAGGTCAACCTCTTCTTCCAAGATGAGTAGCACAATGCCCTGTGTAAAGTTGTACGGTTATATTTGACAGATATGAGACGAAGTCCTGAATATATATTTAACAGCTTAGTAATATTTATAGTTATAATAAAATATAAATGAATGAATGAAGTCCTTAATCTGTATAGCATAATCCTCCAACTGTATTTTATAACAAATTTTCCTTTAGAATATGTCAAATAATAGGCCATTGACAAAAAAGCCTAATTCATCTTCATTATTGTTGTAGATGATTGTATAGTGAAAGAAGATCAACCATGCATTGCTACCAAACATATCCTGAAATCACCAAATGTAAAAAATCAAAGTGTGAGGACATCGAGAAAGAGATTTCCACCTATTGATAATAGGCAAGTAGAAAAGGGGTCAGATCCTCAAAAGTTATCGCAACAGAGTAAAATAGAAGACAAGACTTCAGGAGATGATTGCCCAAACAAAATATCTGAGAGTATTTTAAAATGCTTATTGAGCATTTTCTTCCGGATGAGCTCAAAAAAGACAAGGAGTTCAATGGACACAATATCTTCACTTTCAACAATGACAACAATTTCTGATGTTTCAATGACTACACGGTTTACAGACCCATATGGTATCCGTTTAAAGTTCGGAAAACGTGATATCGGCCCATATAAGCATTTATTCGCAGTCGAGGCTCCTTCTTTCAATCCAAACCGATCAACTCTTTCTGTGTTTTTAGTTCGCAGATTGAAGTAAGCTACGACAATGATATGAATCGGATTTTTTAAAAAAACATTTTTTGTAGGTCTTATTGTCTAAGAAAACTATTGTGATTTTGCAGACTTCTGTTTGACAAGCTTGAGTTGGTACAACTCAAAAGTCTCACGCACCAGGAGAAGCTCGCCTTCTGGATAAATATCTATAATTCATGCATGATGAATGTAAGACATATATTTCATTCCATAAGTTCAAAAAATAAAATAAAGATGTGAGCATTGACACAATTATTCGGTCCGATGTTTCAGGCTTTTCTAGAAAATGGAATGCCGGATAGTCCTGAAATGGTTGTAGAATTGATGCAAAAGGTAATAATCCATCTCTATTGTTTGGAGCTAGCATAGTGATAAATATCATATATGTGTTGTATAAGACTAGTGGTTTCATCATAAAATGATAGTTTTAATAGATGAGTAACGCGATACTTTATATGTTCTTTCAAATTTCCAATTCATAAATTTTAATTATTATTTGGATGGAAGGCAACGATCAATGTTGGGGGCCATTTGCTTAATGCTATAACCATTGAGCATTTCATTTTGAGATTGCCTTATCACTCAAAATTTGTAAGTCCTTTCAATTTAGTTTCATCTTTAATTTCTTCAAGACCATTAATTTTTCCCAATTCAAACCATATTCGTGTGTGTGCGCGTATCTTTTCTCCCAGACCTTTGACAAGAGTCTGAAAAACGACGAGATGATAGCACGCAGTATGTTTGGACTGGAGTTCTCTGAACCACTTGTAACCTTTGCCCTCTCTTGTGGAAGTTGGTCATCACCTGCTGTAAGTATCCCGCATAATAAATTAACCATATATCACCCACTATATAATAAGATCAATCCCCTATAAGAGATGAATTTCCTAAAACTAATTGGCTGAATTACAAAAGCTAGAGCAAATTATATTATACATCCGAATGTAAGTTTTGCATTTGAGTATTTTTGTAACTTTTTTATAATTAACCATTCGGCATTGAAGGGTACTTATTTCTCAGTGCTCATGTTAATTTGTTCTGCTCATTTTGATAGTATACAAATGCTCATTTGCATATAAATAAAAATACCCAAAAGTTATTTTTTATCTCAAGTAGTTCATTTGGGTGTACCATGCACACGTTAAGTCTGAATGTATTGTATAGCAATATAGATTCTGGAGTTCTTATAGACTCTATTTGTGATAAAGGTGAGAGTATATACCGCTCTCGGAATTGAAACGGAGCTAGAAGTTGCAAAAAGAGAGTATTTGCAGGCAGCGGTCGGGATTTCAAGATCAAAGAAGTTAGTCGCCATTCCAAAGATGTTAGATTGGTATCTTTTAGATTTTGCCAAGGATTTGGAGTCATTGCTTGATTGGATATGCCTTCAATTACCAAGTGAACTTAGAAAAGAAGCAATGGGCTGCCTTGAGAGAGGACACAATGAGCCATTGTCCCAGTTTCTCCATATTATACCATATGAGTTTAGATTCAGGTATCTTTTGTGCATCTAAGTTTTGGTTTTTGATTATTTTTCAATTTATTAGTTTATTAACCATCTCCTCTATAGCTGAATGGTTTTTGAGTAACAGGTTGAAATAGAGAGCACTACATATATATACAGTTTGAAAGTGTACATTGTGATAATAAGGTTTTTGGCTAGAATAAGATTTTCCTTCCCAACTACAAGGTTGGTATGCTTTTGCATTATTATAATTCTAGTAATAATAATAATAATAATAATAATAATAATAATAATAATAATAAACGGCTTTGGCATTGTTATATTGGTTTTGGTAAAGATTATACGATCACGATTTTGTCCCATACTTGATAGAAGTATTTGATGAAGTGAGTGAATGAAGTCTTGTAAAGATTGTGACAAAAAAAATTGTGACATGTTTGGTAAACGGTATTTTGTTGAGTTATTAAGAAACGTGAAAATGTGGTTAAAATTATTTTTGTCTAAAGTTTCTTGTTACGATTATTTGGTTATTGTGTTTGTGAAGATTAAGGCTATCCTCATTCGTAGTACTCCGTTTATGTTACGTTGCATTCTATGGAATTGGCCCAGAAACAGCAAAAGGCCTACATACAGTAAAAAGGATTAGAAAAGCTGGTGGCACAGAAATGTTTAATTGTACATTATTTTTTCGAAGTACACATATATTATTACTTTATTATAATTGTAATAGCAATATATGACAGCAAAGCAGGACTGAATAGTGATGGTACTAAGTACTTTACCTAATTCATGGTCCCGTACGTGGTCCTACATTTTTCATACATTCGGACAAACAATTATGATAATTATGTGCCCTTGAGACAGACGAGTATACGAAAGGTGTACACCAAAATGTGTATACCAAATATATTTTTTTTCATGAAAAAGAATTTAATTCTGCGGGATAGAAATAAGTAAATTACAATTATGGCATGCAATTAGATGTTAGCAAGCTGTTGATGTTGAGTGACACAAAGCTTCGCACCACAAAAGGGAGGCTCGATTGCCCGCACGAGTAGCTCAGTTAGTTGAGTGGTGGGAGATTTTGATCAATGGACCAAGGTTCGAATCCCTGCAGCGACCGGGTGGAGATCACAGAACCTGAAATAAGGCTGGGTCTCTGGTGCGCACGGGTGTATGGGTCTACTGTCATTCTGCAGACTGAGTCATCGTGACTAACCTCTCCATCATCCTGTCGGGTCGGGGCGTGGGACTCCTGGTATGGGAGATTCCACCTTTTTAGATCAACAAAAGGGAGGCTACTGCATCATTGACTAAAGTTCTCAGTATTTGATTATACACTTTTACTTTATCTACAAGAGTCTAGTCAAGTTGGTATTGCACAGTTCAATAGAAAGTGAGATGTCAACAACTTCGCAATTAGGTTTATAATTAATTACGGAGTACTACGTAAAACTTATTCTTAGTTTATTAAGAATATTCTCATTACAAAACAATCACTCCGTTAACTTTGTAAACATGGTAAAATGGGTAAAATTCCAATTGTATTGTTCTCAGCATGAGATCACACTTAGGGGTCGTTTGTTAAAGTGTGACGTAATCATTTTATATGCAAAGTGTATGGATGTAAACAATTTACAACGTTTTGTATGATTATTTAATGTAAACTGTAGGGTAGTATTTTAAAACATTTTACATTGTATCATGTAAAACACTTTACATGGGGCGAGGGTGGTAAAGTATTTTACATTCCTAATATAGAGTTGATCAAATTAAAACATACTTATACCAAACTAGTTTACATTAGAGTATAAGACTAAACTTTAACCGACCAAATAAAACTAAAAAAACTCTATTCCAAGTGAAAACGAGTGAAGTGTTATTTAGTGTATATAGATGTCTTCACACAGACGATAAGAATGAATGATCAAAGTGTTTTAGCTTAAAGCTGTAAATAGGAACATCACTTATGTTTTTAATGGTCTTTTGGGATTTAGGGTCAAAACTAGGGTTGAATTTAGGTCGGGACCCGAACCGGAAGTGCAAAAACCAAAACCGAATTGACATTTTGATTCTCTTAAAAATGAAACCTGAGCCCGAATCGAAAATAGTCTGGGATCCGATTGTTCGGGAACTAATTTTTTGATTTGGTTTCGGGTCGAAAACTGAAACATTTGAACTAAAATGGAATTCACAAATTAATGCATGGATCATTCAAAATAAACATGCATTATAAGAAAAGGAAAAATCACACCGAGAATGAAAAACAATCACAAGTCAAATTTGCTTGTAAATTAAATTAAAAACTTGTAGTAGTAAAAAATATTCATGACAATTAAGACGCTTAATTTTCCTGACTGCTTTTTTATGTAAGAGATATTGTTAAGGCTAATTCTATATACAGTCTCTAAATTACTAGTACTAAACATAGCCACAAAATTACTCGTGAATATTAAAAATTAAGAACCCGTTTGGTAACACTGAAATCGGCTGATTCTGCTGATTCTGCTGAAATTTATGAAGTTCTGGCTGAAGTGGCTGTATTGGCTGATTTTGCTGATTCATGAAAAAATTAAATTTAAAATATATTTTATTAATAAAATAAAGAAAAAATTATGTGTAAAAATAGCTAAAATGGTCCTCTACAGTAACTTCAGCCGATACAGCCAGAAAAGTAACTCCAACCTTACTTTTTGTGCTTATTACAAAATTCGGTGCGCGAAATCAAAAGTTACGTGTTTGGTGAAAAAGCTGGTTGATAAGCCTGATAAGCTGAAAAAAGTGGTCACCAAACGGGCTCTAAAACTAATTGAAATATCTAATTTAGCCTTACGACAGTATAAACTATTTCAAATATACTTCACGCCGGTTTAGAGCCCGTTTGGTAACATTAAAATTGACTGAAGTGGCTGTATTGGTTGATTCTGCTTATTCATGAAAAATATATATTTAAATTATTTTTTATTAATAAATTAAATAAAAAAATTATACTTCGTATTAAAAATAGCTAAAATGATCCTCTACAGTAACTTCAGCCAGAACTGCATGAAAAGTAACTTCAACCTTACTGTTTCTACCTATTACAAACTTCAGCGCGCGAAATAAAAAATTACGTGTTTGATGAAAAAACTGATTGATAAACCTAATAAACCGAGGGGCTCTTGATTTTATAGTGTCATTCAATCCACAACTCTTCAATAAGTTAAGTGAGGGAGCTTTTCTTAACTCTCTCCTACACTTCGAAATGCTTCATTTGCGTTCGAACCCCACTTACTATTGTTTGTTTCATATTATGTCAACATTATATTTACACTACAAGCTCAATCAACTCGACCCAAACTAGGGAAAGAATAAAAATTGACTTGATATATGGAATTCCACACAATTTGCAAAATGGTGGCGAACAAACAAAAAATACTCAAGAAATAGAGAATCAAATTAACATAATAACTAAACTAAAGTGTTTTTTGTTGAATGATAAGAGAAAGATTACTCGCTACTGAAAATATTGAAAAAAAGTCCAAGTAAATTGAGAGCCCGTTTGGTAACACTAAAATTAGCTGAATTGACTGATTCTGCTGAAATTTATGAAGTTCTGACTGAAGTGGCTGTATTGGCTGATTCTGCTGATTTATGAAAAAATTATATTTAAAATATTTGTTATTGATAAATTAAACAAAAAATTATATGAAAAAATGGCTAAAATGATCCTCTACAGTAACTTCAGTCAGTTTAGCCAGAAAAGTAACTCCAGCCTTACTTTTTCTGCTTATTTCAAACTTCAGCGCGTGAAATCAAAAATTACGTGTTTGGTGAAAAAGCTAGCTGATAAGCCTGATAAGCCGAAAAAGGGGGTCACCAAACGGGCTCTGAGTGCAATCAACGAGGTTGTAACATTCAAAATTCACTTCGCAACAAATACTCCGTATGATTTTTTCCTTGGTAATAGATATATGGGGGAATCCTTGGTAATTTTTTCCTAGGAAAAAAGGTGCAAATAGGTCCATGTACTAACCAAAAAAGGTCAAATAAGCCTTTATTGAGGAGGCTCTGTCCGGTCGTCGTCATTTGGGATGGTTCCTGGTGGAATGTTTTGATGAAATTTTTTGAGCATCTTATTCGTCAAGTCTAGTGTACTCATACCAAATTTAAGCTAAAACTTCAATCGGGAAGGCATCCAAATGAATTCTTGAAGATAACTGCGATTCTAACTGCACGGTTATTTTCAAGATTTCATTTGAATGCCTTCCACAATGAATTTTTAGCTGAAATTTGGTATGAGTAAACTAGACTTGATGAATAAGATGCTCAAAAAAATTCAGCAAAAATTTCCACTGGGAACCACCCCAAATGGCGATGACCGTACAGAGCCTCTTAAATAAGGGCTTATTTGACCTTTTTTATTAGTACATGGGCTTATTTGCACCTTTTTCCTTTTTCCTATGTATACAACACGAGCACCTGTTTGATGTTTCTGAGTTGATTGAACTGTATTGAGCAGGTTTTTGTTTTTTCAATTGAATAAGTTGTGGTCGAATTTATTACGCAGAAGGACCGCCACTTCAAATGGCGGCTTTTGTACTGTATAGAAGAACCGCCACTTCAAGTGACGGCTTTCCTTAACTGCGATTAAATCCAGCAATAGTTTGGAGTTATTTTTAACCCACCAGTATTTTAAGAATTGTTTATTTAATTAGCATTATTTTGAGGAAAAACTCTCTCAATATCTAAAAAATTGCTTCTAGGAGTAATTTGGAGCAGCAGACTGCATTTTGATCCAAACACTATAATATCTGCATAATAGATATAAACAATTATTTATGTAGAAATAAAAGTAGAAACCTGTCTTAATTCTTATTTATGTACTTCCTTCGAAAATTTGAAGGATTCTATTTCTATCGTCAATAAAAGTTACAACCCGATAAAGCTCAACAATCATTATAATGTGTACAATAATGAGAAAGAAACACCTCATAAAAAAACGAAGAGAAAAATCACGAAGCTTTAGATAAATATTTAAAAAGCCTTTATTTGTTAAAAAGGACTGCGTTAGGCCTGGCATTTTGTAGAGTGAGTGACCCACAATTGCACTTTAAACAATGGTGTTTGGTTACTCTCCGTTTGGATCAGCTGGACTCTCTCCCTTCCACCTACCAAAAGTTAAACTTTCGATTGAGTGGATAATGGTCCACACGATCGCTATGATTGGACCGGTCCAATGGCCTCCGTCTCAATCTCACCATCACCGCGCGCTACACCGCTCTCTTTCACTTTTCCCTAGAGGGAAATTCTTACCGGCGGGGTAGCTCAACTAATAACAAGGTAGTGTCACAAGGGTTAGGTCCCGGATTCACATCCCGACAACTGCGATGAGGGGTTACTATGCATAGGGCCTCTGCAAGTATCGGGGACATAGCCTCACTCTCTATCTGTAAGATTGAGATTATAGTCCAATTCACATCCTCCCAACGTACCGTCCGATCGGGGTTAGGGGTCCTCAGAGATGGGGTGTCATCCTTTTTTCCCTAAAGGGAAATTCTTTTCACAGCTCCCGTGCAATCCCTATTTTAGCCTTGATGTATCTGGTGGGCGTAGCACAACCTCTAAATAGAGGTGTCACCAGGAGTAAGTTTCGGATTCGAATTTCGACAATAAAGATTATTATGCTAAAATGCATAGGGTCTCTGCAAGTAGCAATGCCAGAGCCCTACTTTTATTGTCAGCTTGTGATTAAAGAGTCCAATTTACATGCTCTATTCAGTAACTGTTCGGTCGATGGTGTTGGTGCCCGCAGGGATTGGTGTCATACTTTATTTTCTATTTTAGCTTTGATGTTATTTCGCTAACTCTTCATCCTCCCAATGGTAAATGGCGACCCAGATGTCGAAGTTCAGGGCCTCTTGCAGAATTAAAGTTGTTGCCATAATGCCATTCATGATCATTGAAAGAAGTTAAGGGCCTCTTGGCTCTTGCAGACTAGCTCCCATGGCGGTGGAAGAAATTAAAACTTAACTAGGTAATCTATGATGTCATGTGTCTATTGAGAGAAAAATCTGATCGAAGGCGGCTTTGAATCTACGAAAGCAAATTAAATTGGAGATCTCTTAACTTTTACTAAAAAAAAACTAGTTTTGAGAGTTTTCAAAGAGGTTTCGTAGAGTTTCCGAAACTGAAACGTACTCTTACTCGAGAGTTTATGTGCTACATAGCTGTGATATTTTTTTTAACCTATGAACTTTTAAATCCACATATTTTTTATGAATGAATTCTATAGACTTTTAAATCTATTGATAAGTTTATTGATTTTCAAAAAGTTCATAAACTTTTAAATTCAAACCACCATGGTTGGTCGTCAAACTTTTCATCTAGATCGCTACTATCGATCTGCATGTCCGCCTCCTTCACCGGAGCTTGTCGTCTTCATCATCGGACTACGAATGTTTTTACTTGGATTGTAATTTGTTGGTCTGGTCTGATCTAGTCTTTTTAAGTTTGGTCTGGTCTGGTCTTGTCTAGTATGGTCTGAACTGGTCTAGTCTGGTCTGGTAAACTTATGATCTCTGTGTATTTTATAACTACGAAAGTCAAGTCTAGTCTGGTCTGTTAAAGTCTGGTCTTGTCTGATCTGGTCTGTTTAAGTTTGGTCTGGTTTGGTCTGTTTAAGTTTGGTCTAA